TCTTCTCAATCCATCACTCTCATTTCACATTATTCCCTGAGTTGTGATCCTCCTGCACCATCCAGATTTGCCCAGCTTTTCTATTCAGCAAGCACTACTGTTCAGCTGAATTTGTCTCCAGTAACTCATGTTTTTGGTCATTATACAGGTCAGAACTCTTTACTAACCACGCAGAAATCAAAATCCTACAACACAGCCATTATTTGGCTGACAGAGGTTAAGAAAAGTGGCAGGGAAGCATCCTGCAGTTTTCATATAGCTGGATGTACAGCAACAAGAACCAACTTGCTAGGACTTCTCCAGAGGTCCCTGATTTATTGCTGTATTCAGTTATAGGAAAACAGCTAGGCTCTTTGCCTCTTCTCTAACAAGGAAATGCCTTCATTGGCAAGGCAGCAGAAAAAGATCTCAGAGAAGCTGTGAGGTTCAACAGGACATATGTTATATACGAAGAATCTCCTGAACCAGGATCTCACAACTGGAAGATATTACAGGTAGCCCTCCACATTGGCAGGGCTAACTTTTGTGGATTTGATTAATATAATCTCTCTAGTAATCTCCAGGTCCTCCAGTGCAACATGGTGGTCAATCTCTGCTAAAGGTGGACCACAGAACTGCACTGGACCTAATCAGGGTTTTAAAAAAACCCTGATTTTTTCTATTTTTGTGAGGGCTCTGCGTCTCTAACTTCAGCAAATGTGGAGGGCGGACTTGATCCATCAATCTATCCAACCAGGATGCCTAGTAGCCAGATTCAATCAGTTTTTAAACGGCCTCTTCCAGGTGACCACCTACACTACAGCTTGTCATGCTGTCTTTTCAAGTTAGCAATGACAAGGTAGTTCCTGTAGTGAACCATAAACGGAAAATCAACTTCCTTTCAATGGTTTGTCTAGGATTCTGTGCAACTAACAGTAAAACAGCAGTAGTACTACTGTAGGCATATGTGCATGAACATATTACTTCATGTTTTGTTCTTGCATCAAAAGCAAAGCCAAAGATATGCAACGTTTTTGTCAGGAGTATTTACTATATGACCCCAACTGAACCACGGGTCAAAGGAGCTGGATTAATCACATCAGACAAAAGCATTTGATAGATTACAGATAATCCTGTATTTTTGAAAACATGAAAACAAATTAATTTTCTGATCTGTACTGTTGTGGTAGCTACCAACTTTCCTGAAACTGTAAGGGGAATAGAAGTGATTGCATATTTATTTCAGCCATGATGAAACTAAGAGACCTACCATTGCAAGGATGCCACGAATGGCACCCCATCCCTCAAGTGGTCACACACACATCTGCAGCAATACATATTGGCATTTTCCAGATGAGTTGGAATACAGCTCCCATCATTTCAGTAACTATGACTGTAATTGTAATACTATATATTTCAATGATACTACTCTGGAGAAATCCAGTCTACAGAAAAGAATAGAAACTGGGAACAGAGCTCAAATATGCGGGGTTTGAGAAATGAATGCGTTCATGCATCAGCATCTCCTCCCATGAGAAAGCTGCTACTCAAAATATAGTTTCTAATCCAAGCTTTTTTTTTTCTTTTTTTGCATGCAGGAAGACAGGGAAGTGTACATTCGTGTTTTTCTCACCACAACACATATTCTAATAATCATTCAAATCTGTGCTCTCTCCCTTGAATTTTGAAGTGAGTGAATGCCAGGAAGGCTTTACCTGAGATCTCTGACCACTTAAGTAGGAAGGATGCATCCCAGAAGTTACTCCCTAACTATTTGGTGTCCTTCAACTCTCCCAACTGCCCCTTTTCTGGCCAAAGAAAAAGCAGTGAAATCACTCCCCCAGAATGATAATTCATCTTTTAACTTCTGTAATACCAAAAGATGACCATTTTCCAAAAACAGAAGTGGACTTATGGCCACTTCTCCTGCTGTTGCTGCTGTTGTTTTGGCAGTTTCTGAGAAGTTCCAAAAAACCTTTTATTACAGTAATGGAATACTGGCAAAAATTATGGAACGAAGAAAGGTATTTTGAAGAAATGGATCTTTCATGGCGTGGCTTCAATTTGCTAAATTATTTCCCAGGAAGAGGGTTTTTCAAGAAAAATACAGATGCCTTGAAATCCTTTAGGAGGCACAAGAAGGAAGGTCATATTAGGGCTCTTAAGTGCAAACCACCAGGAAAGCCGTCCTGGGTAGGTAGCTCTTCTTAACTATGGACTTAACTAAAAACGATGTGTTCTTGATCCTTTAAATGTAAACTTAACTAATCCACATATTGTGCAATATGCCAAATGCAATAATGCCCATATTTCCAATCTTTTGAGTTTTGCACTGCAGTTTTCTAATAAAAATGCATAAACAGATGTCTATACTATGGGGGAAAGTTTGCACAAAATTTTGATACATTAATAAAAACAAAGTACAAAAATCAGTGTATTAAACATAATTGTAAAAATGCACATATGACCAGGAAACTGTACAGAGATATTTCTGTTTTGTGGCAATACATATAGATTTTCATGGTGACTATACAATCTTGCAAACTGATGCAGAAACAGGATGAAATAAACTAAAAGATGGAAAAGCAAAAGCACAATGACACAGTCCAGTCTTAATACTGGACTCTGATTTCATAATCACGTAGTCAATACATCAGAAAGGACAAAATAAATCCATGCTCTCCACATCCCTTAGGGTTAATTGTACTGAGAAAGGACAGCACTTCCTTACATCAAACCATCTAAAGGTCTTCAAGATAAGCATCATTTTGCTTCTCCAGTAATGTAAGAGTGGGCGGGAAGATGATAAATTGAGAAGAAGATATATCTACAACCTCCAAATGACCTTTATGTCAGATGGAGTGATTACGGTATTTCAAGCACAGTCAGAACAATAATAAAAAAAATTGAGATGAGATCCATCCTCATGAAAATGTATCTAGAAAGAAGCTAAATAGTAGGGATGTGGTTCAGTCTGAAGTTTTGCCCACACACAGCCTCCAAGTATTAATATGGCGAAAGGCAGATGTTACAATTCTCTATTTTGTTTAGCTCCATAAGATAAAATGCACACTAACATTGAATGTGCTTGACTGATACCTTAAAGATAACCATGCAGAGTTGTTTTCCCTAGAGTACCAGTGTAAACAGAATACTAAAAGTAGGAAAGTCAGTCATTTTCCAGCCTTCCCAGAACTGTTAAAATCATGGTTTGCACTTGCACTGCTCATGAAGTGTATTTCCTCTTCTTCCTTCAGTCCCCATGTATGTCTCCTCCTAGTCTGCTCGTGGGATTCAAGATCCCTCCACAGCAAACCTAGGATAAATGAGGCAAAGCTTACGGAGGAGGGGAAGGGAAAGTCCTGTTGGAATATTCTGTTTGCCTAACATTGGACACCATGATTGGTATTTCTGAATCACCAGGCCATAACTTGTTCCAACTGAATGTTTCCAGTGAAACCTGTAGCAAATGCCAAAATATAAAGGAATCCCCATGAAGAATAGAGAGAGGAATCATAGAATCCTAGAATTGGAAGAGATCTCAAGGGCCATCCAGTCCAACCCCCTACCAAGAAGCAGGAATATTTCATTCAAATCACCCCTGACAGATGGCCATCCAGCCTCTGTTTAAAAGCTTCCAAAGAAGGAGCCTCCACCACACTCCGGGGCAGAGAGTTCCACTGCTGAACGGTTCTCACAGTCAGGAAGTTCTTCCTCATGTTCAGATGGAATCGCAGTAGACCTCTTGAAGTGTCACTTCTATAATATGCAAATGACATTCTGTTGCCTCCCACTGAGAGGACATTTATTCTAGCTGTGGTTCCTCCATCCGAGTAGATTCTAAATATACATCTTAGCCTGAATTCTTATGTTTCTTGTGCGGCACAATTGACCATCATATCCTTCCTCTCTCTCCCACTTTTTTCTATCAGATAATTGTGAAAATCCTCTGCCATTTTGTTCTCTGAGTCCTAGTCAGTGTTCAACCAATAAGGCATTATCTCAGAAAGCCTCCTGGTGGTGAAGCAGGTTAAACCTCTGAGCTGCCGAACTTGTTGACCAAAAGGTTGGTGGTTTGAATCCGGGGAGTGGGGTGAGGTCCCCCTGTTAGCTCCAGCTTCTGCCAACCTAGCAGTTCAAAAACATGCAAGGGTGAGTAGACCAACAGGTACTGCTTCTGCAAGAAGGTAATGACACTTCATGCAGTCATGCTGGCCACATAACCTTGGAGGTGTCTACAGACAATGCCCCCAGAGCTGGACACGACTAGACTTAATGTCAAGGAAAAAACTTTACCTTTTTACCTCAGAAAGCAGGATAAATGCTACATCTCATTTTCTCCAGCAATACAGTGCTTATCAAGACTCTCTCTGCTCTCAATTGATACTTAGGAAAATTTGCTTTTTTCAGGCTACAACTCCCAAAAAGTTTCAGCCAGTCACTGAAGTGCCATTAAGGGTTAGGGAGAGAGGACATGCTCTTCAGTCACAATCCTCAAAGAGGTGCCTTTTCAGAGATTCCCCCCTCCTTTCTTCTCTGCTCCCCTCATCATAAGAAAACAATGTGAGGTTTTGAAAGGAGGAAAAAGCAAAAAACAGTGTCTATAATTCAGCATAATTCTTACTCAGCCTATTTCAATCAGCAAACATTCCTGGCACAGGAGGAGCTCCATCATCCTCACCTCTGCAAAAGTGCCTACAATATTCAAAACATATTTTATAGGCTGCCTGAAGCAGCTGTCCCTATATTTGCACATTTGCTGGTGAAGGGATGAGGCCTGTAATAAACCAAGGACACCTGAACCCTGTGTGACAGAACCTCTGACAGCATTTCCCATTGAGACCAAGGCACTGGTTGGGAGAGCAATGGGGACTGCCTTCCTGTTTTCTTTGCACACAAGTTCCTCTTTCCAGGATAACAAAAACATAAGAGGACAGTAGAAAAGGGCTGACCAATGCTTGGGACATCAATCAACTGTGACAGCCAATTTGACCCTAGACAAATATTCAAGAAGCAAAACATGGCTTTAAGATGGCTGGCTTCCTTTTTATTTCATCCTGGTGTCTTTGATTGGCAAAGTAAGGTGCAATTATTTGAACAAGTTACGTTGCTGCCATTGCTGTTGCTGGACAGATCCAGTACCGGAGGCTTGGTAGACATACTCAGTTTTAGCCTGAGTTTCTGATAATTGCTGTTTAGGGAATCATCATTTTATGAGCGGCTGATCTTTTTCTGCCCAATTACATGATTTGCTTAGACAAACCACAGTGTCAAAAGTTCCAAAAGGGAGATGGGCTAGCTTCCTTCTCTCGATTGTGAAGCGCCTCGCCTGCCACAAGAAACATGGAAGACAATGGCCCTGGACACCAGGGAATTGACACAGTTCTTTGAAAGAGGAAGCCATTTCTGAACTTGGGAGAAAAGAAGGGTTTTTTTTTTAAAGACATACCACACCTTCTCCCCCACAATCATGCTGACCAACAGTCCATATGCATTAAGCGTCTTCTCAGCTTTGTAGCTCAGCAAAGCGCCAGGTCTGCAGCACAATTAAAAAACTCAAGCAATTAGATCTGGTACCATGAGGGGACAAGATGGCAAAACTTTCCCCTCAAAGGAAAAAATAGTAAGGTTCCCCCCAAAGACATGATTATGTCAGCCCTGTCACAGTCCTGTGGGCCTGGCTGCCTGCATCCACATTGTCCTGTCTCTCCACAGCGTCATTCTCTGCTGAGTGAAGCTCTGTTAGCGATCTGGGCGCTGCACACAGAACACCTTGGCCTGGTGATCGCCGGAAGTAGTAACTACAATAGAAGCATCTCTGAAGAAAGAAAAAAAAAAGAACAAAAGAAATCAGCTCATTTAAAATATTAATTTAGCCCACCTTTCCAAAGTTTTTTTAAAATATCACTATACGCAATTCACTAAAGTATCACTATCTGAAAGAACAAATAAAGGAGCAAAGCCCAAAGAGAGAAAAATCATATGAATGGCAGTAATAACCTGCCCCCTGGTGGTGCAGCAGATTAAACCACTGAGCTGCGGAACTTGCTGACTAAAAGGTCGGTTTGAACCCTTGGAGCAGAGTGAGCTCCCGCTGTTAGCCCGAGCTTCTGCCAACCTAGCAGTTCGAAAACATGCAAATGTGAGTAGATCAATAGATACTGCTTCTGCGGTAAGGTAACAGCACTCCATGAAGTCATGTTGGCCACATGATCTTGGAGGTGTCTACGGACAACGCCACCTCTGCAGCTTAGAAATGAAGATGTGCACAACCCTTCCCCCCCCCCTCCCCGGAGTAGAACATAACTAGACTTAATATCAAGGGGAAACCTTTATCTTTTTTTAAAAACTACCCCAAAACCTGGATAAGAAAAATAATGTAATGTAATAATAATAATAATAATAATAATAATAATAATAATAATAATAACAGAGTAAAATAATAAATAACTTTGACTTGAGTATAAACCAAGGGGGCGTTTTTAGCCTTTAAAAAGGGCTGAAAAACTCAGCTTATACTCGAATATACACAGTACCTCCAAACCAGCTCCAACACATTTCCCTCTTGAACCAATATTCCCAGCACAAGCTTCCAATGTGCCCTCTATGTCCCTGCCTATAGCATTTCTCTATCTTGTTATGTATCCATTATTTCCTGTCTTTATGCACCAACATCTCATTGACAAAAACCTCTGTAGCTTCCAGGCACTCACTTGTTCAAAGCGAAGTCCAGGATTTCTGCTGAGTGGCCCCGGTACTCACTGATCAACTTGCCTGAACGTGCATCCCAGAGGGACACAGCGCCATCCAGGCTGCAGGTATAAACCACAGGTGAGCTGTCCTCCCACAGAAGCTGTACAATCCCTGACTAGAGAGAGAGAGAGAGAGAAAATAAGCATCAGCAGATTTCAGCGTTCCTACCTTCTCAGCCGAAAGCTTGGCTCTCAATACTGAACCTGTAGATATTTGCACTGCTACTGTCTGTATTCCATGAACTGTACCAATGCTCCTAGAGTGGCAATCCACTTGGAATTGGTATTGCATGTTCCTCACATCTCTTCTAGAAGCAAGAGGCAGTGGGACATTTATTTACCAGCTCTTGAAAGCAAACCTCAACCGGATTTCTGAAGCACTATCATGGGTTTTTCAGTCTCTGCTACTTATGACTAGCTTGAACACAGATTTAGAGCTCTTGCCTGGAGCAGAGTTGGAATACAAGTACTGTATTCACAATTATAACTAGTTTCCTTCTCTCATTAGATCCCGAGCAACACACAATTCCTCCTCTCTTGGGTTGAAATGGGTGTTCAAAGAGGCTCATGCCAACCTATTTCTCCAGTTCCCTTAGTGACCTCTTCTCCTTTACCTCATGCTGGCACTTGTGTCTTAAGGTCTGTGTAACAAGGTCATAAATGGCCAAGGTCCCATCTAAATAGCCAACAGCTGCCAGTGGCATCCTGCAACAGCAAGGAGGGAGAAAGGGTTCTCTTGTAAGTTGCTTTACACAACTCTGTGCCCATGCAGTCAAGCACACCACCAGCCTATCGCACACTTCTCCAATACTCACACATTGCAGAAACCCAGCGACTCCACTGAGTTGGATTCAGCTTCCTCAGTCTCTCCTGATGAGGTCTTGGGGACAATGCTCTCTGCCTTGAAGACAGACACAACCTGCAAGAGAGATGGGCCATGATGGATATCCCCCATGTTCAACATGCAAAGCACAGTCTCTGATGCACACTAGTTAAGAAAACATCAGGAAACCTGGAAGGCAACCCATTAGTCATGATCTGCTTTCAATCAGCTTAGCAAGTGAGAAGTTTTTTTTGCTACTAAGACTCAATGTTTTAGCGGCAAAAGAAGGTGGAGGAACTCACCTTGCCGGTTGCAGAGTTCACCAGTTTGGCATGGCAATCAACAGAACCTGTCAGGATTAGGCTGCCATCCTTATTGCTGGCCACACACGTCAAAGGGCCCTGATGTCCATCCTGACCTAAAGATCAAAAAAGGCACAAAGAGGATTGAAGTAAGTGCACAGCTTTCCCCCTCCGCTTTTTGTCTCTTTCCCAGTGATTTCAGCCACACCATCCTGCAATTCCAATACCATGACCAAAAATATGTGTGGGCTAAAATGACCCCAGAGCACGCATGCAATGTGATTTCATGCAAAATATAGACCTGTAATACTACCCCAAAAACCTGATGATAGAGAAAGATCTGTTAATGTCCCTGAAACAGACTTTCTGTTGGGCAGTGCCTCTCAGTTACAAACAAGGATGCCAATACGCCAAGGCATACAAAGATGAAATCCTTCACAGGTTGTCCAATTTTTAATTAGCCAGTCTGAAAAGTGCTTTGGGATTCTGCATGTTCCATAGAAGCCATTCATATTCCATGAACAAACTTCCCACCTCTAGAAGGCATCCAAGGTAAGTATTATGAAATACACCCCTATCCAATGAGATGTACAAGTGTCACTCCTGCTTCCTGGCAGTATATAAAAACAGGCAAATGGAAACAGGGATTGCAAAGCTTACTAAAATGTATGATATTATTCATGAACAGGAAGTACTGGATAAGACGGTCTTGAGGATCCCTTGCAACTCTGACTTTTATGAAAAGAACAAAACATGTGGGTACCTTTAAGGACATGTAGTGGGCTTCCCTGCTTCAGATCCCAGATGCGGACTGTCCCATCTTCATAGCCGACCACAGCTCTCTTTCCTGCATTGAGAAGCTTTATGTTGGTCAACTTTCATCAAGCAAATGTTCAGCATTCCCAACTTGTAATACAGGGTTAGTCAAAATGAATAGGCCAATAAGAAAATTAATTTTAGACGAATGTATGTTTATTGTAACCAAACTACAGCTACGTAGCGACAGATAAACTATCAAAGTTTTGTCTCACCTTCAGAGATGTTCGATATGGGCGCCCCGTGTGACACGGCAGATGTCCAAGCGATAGTCCAGTTCATTCCACATCCGTTGCAGCACATCCGACGTAATGGCATCGAATGCAGCAACGTCTGGGAAGGTGTTCGTTGAGGTCCTAACCCTAACCCTAACCCTAACCCTAACCCTCCCTAACCCTATCCCTAACCCTAACCCTAACCCTAACCCTAACCCTATCCCTAACCCTAACCCTAACCCTAACCCGTGAAATTCTCGCTGGACCGTAATTACTGACATTGTTTTAGCAAATGTCATCACACAAAACGCCTTCTCTTTGCTTGATTCCGCCATTTTGGAAACAGCGACCCCTAGCGACGCCTAGCGGCATTAACGTACATGTGTGTTGCTCAAAAAAAACTTTGATAGTTTATCTGTCGCTACGTAGCTGTGGTTTGGTTACAGTAAACATACATTCGTCTAAAATTAATTTTCTTATTGGCCTATTCATTTTGACTAACCCTGTATTTAAATCGCGTTAAGTAATGATGGCCCTGCATATTTTTTGGTCCACAGCTCCCATCACAACTAGCTAGCATAACTAGTTGTGAGGGATTATAGGAGCTATATACAAAAAACCATGACAATAGAGAGCAACAGTTAACAACCCTTGTTCTCAGCAATCTGTTGCCACCCCTTAAGGTATAATGCAATGGATATTATATCTGGGATAATAAAAATTTTACAGCATCTTTTTCCCACTCCTGTAGGCGCTCTACCAGTATAATTCCCACAATCTAATCTTGGTTGCTCACCATCAGAAAGGACACGTCCACAGGTAGCAGGGCAGTTTGGCCCTTGGAACGTCTTGCATTCCCCACTGGGGATCTTCCACATCCAGGAGTTGCCATCTGCTGTTCCAGCCAGGAGGACATGGGATTGGGGGTGCCACTCCATCCACTAGAGGCAGAGAAGGAAAAAGGAAAGAAGAGGAAAGCTTGGGAGGAAAGAAGAGAGGAAAAGAACCTGGCTATTTGGCTACATTGCCAATTGATCCTTGTTCATATACCATCTTCTCCTTGGAAGTGTCATCTGAATTCAAGGTCTTTGCGAACTCTAATTTTTATTAGTAACAACAACTAATCTACTGACAACACATAATGGCAAAATTTGTAACTTTGTATTACAAAGCCTTCCTCTGGGATTTCTCACCTCCAAGTCACCAACTTCGAAAGACCAGATCTCCTCTTTGGTGTCCACCCGCCAGACTTTGATCAATCCACTCATGTCACCTGTGGCCACAAAGGTGGAGTCATGGCTAAACCCAGTACATGTGACAGAGTCTTTGTGACCTAGGGAGAGGAACAAGGAGATCATGATTTAGTGCAGTATACATTTTTAAAAAGGGAATTGGAAAGGTACAGCTAAAGATCCTGGAAATCGAGACAATAATTTCAATCTTTCAAAACTGTTACACTTGAGTACATTCCTGTAGTGTGAAGTCATCTACATGTGTCCATTCCAATTCAAACATTTATGCAAACTAAAAGGAAAAAAGGGGGAAAAGTGGAGGAGAGTCACAAAAGTATGTAAGATAATATCAGTTCCTATTTCCCTGTACTTAAGAACATGCTGAATAATTTCAGATGTATATAATCATCATCACCACCACCACCAACATCATCATCTTTATTTATATCCCGTCCTATGTCTGCAAAGGGACTCAGGGCGGATTCCAACAAACAAAAAAGGCAAACATTCAATGCCTCAAGACAATAACAAATATAGACATAATATCCCAGAATAACCCCACATATAACATGACATGAATAGATTAAATAAAACGTATCCTGTCTAAAAAATTATATTTAACATAAAACGTAAATTTAAAACATCAAACATACACATTAATCTTATCACCACAATTACCCAGTGTATAGAGAAACATTTGTGTATAAAGTTATCTTTTTGCAGAGCCCGCAAACTACAGATATTGCAGGCTGTTCTTTAGTGGAGTGCCCAATTTGAGGTGGCTCACCTGAGCATTCAAAAAGGAGTTCTCCATCACTGAGGCGCCACACAAAGGCCTTGTCGTCTTCACCACCCGTCACTGCCAGCGTGTTGGTCTTGGGATCAAGGCTGACACAGAAAACAGAAGCTGAGGAGAACAATGAGAATGACAGAAACTAAAGATGTCACAGATGCAACTATATCAGATTGTATGAGGAGCATCCAAACAAGAGGAACTAAAATGGCCTGAAATATTTATTTATTTACTGTATTAATGCAAAGCCTTTCTCACCTCTGGGGAGACTCAAGGTGGTTTACAACATACTATTGGCAAAAAATCATTGCCAACACACAGTAAAACAAAGAGATCATAATAACTAATAAAATACCCTGGGATCACCCCCATATCTTGTTATCTCAAGACACCGCCTTGGGAACTTAAAGCCAGAATCAAAAATGGTCCCAGCAGCTTTCAATCCAGGAACACAATACAGTAAACATAGGGCAGGGAGGTGCAGCAAAAAGAAGGCAGAAAAGAGAGAGCAAGCTATATTGTCAGGTGACACAGTCCTTGCTTGTAGTTTCAATGTTAAAGGAGTTGCCCAAGTGATCCCACATGAATCAAGGAAATATAGTTTTTGAACATACATGGAACTCCCTTACATATCAGCCAAATGTGGGGGGATGGCAGAGTGTGTCTAACTGCAACAAATATCAACCACAGCGGCAGCTAGGTCACACAACTTATTTCAGTGCTTTAGGAGGTGCTCTGACCCCCAACTGCACTCCTGCCTTCCAACTAAACACAACATAGAGTCACCTGCAGTTTTCACTTAGGATGGAAAAGAAAGATCCAGAGAGAGCAGCTAATGAAGTAGGAAATCTGGCTCCCCTACTAGCTCACCAGTATGTTTTGAGAAGGTGACCTCACTGTCATCTTGGGCCTCCATGCCCTCCTCCACTCCCTCATCTTCCTCCTCAGTCACCCAAGCGCCCTGCTCTTCGTCGAGGTCCACATCTTCCATCTCATCAGCCAGATCATCTGCCAAAAAGTAGAGAAGAGGGACATAGATTTTTGAAACAACTCAGTGTCAAGTTCTTCTCACTGCAATGTGAGAAACCCCACCCACCACCCCAAACATGCATACACTAAGTTTTAGGAAAGAGGAGGATACCACTCAAAAGTCCACATCAGTCCGAAACCAGGGGTCAAGAATTCATACCTGCAAACGTATTATTTATTTACTCTATTTATACCTGGCCTTTCTCTACCCTGAAGGGAACTCAAGGCAATTATTCAATGCCATAAACACATACAATTCCAAAATTAAAATTAAGGATTTAAAATAAGTTATAATTAATACATATTAGATATTTTAAAACATGACATTCCATATTAAAATCATGACATCCATAATCGTATTCCAAGCCGTTCCATGGTCACTGCACATATTCCAAATCTGTTATTGCACAGCACTATTCTCCAAAAGCCTGATCCCACAGCCAAGTTTTTACTTTTCTTCTGAAGGCTAGGAGGGAGAGGGCTGATCTCTTATTATTCTTATTACTATTATTATCATCCTACACAAGATTTAGATATAGGAACTCCTAATGTTCAGTGCCCCCACCCCCACCCTGCCCCAAATGACATGAGATCCAAAGGTTTTGGCCCTAACAAAAACAAGCACCTAGCTCTTCTTCTTAATTTATTTATTTAATGTATTTATCATATTTATATTTATATCCCGCCTTTCTCACCTCAGAAGGGGACTCAAGGCGGCCTAACAACAGGCAGCAATTTGATGCCGTACACACAAATATAAAATCAATAATTACAATTAAAACCAAATAATTAAAACATGGAATTATTGAAACAATTAAACAATTAAAATCATGCCAACCAAAGCATAATCCATTCCATTTGTCAATCACATTGTTTCATAGTCATTTATTGCACTGCTCCAATTATTTGTCAAAACTTGGTACCAATACCATGTCTTTTAAGTTGTTTTCCTGAAGGTCAGGAGAGAAGGGGCTGATCTGATTTCACTGGGGAGGGAGTTCCATAGTTGAGGAACCGCCACTGAGAAGGCCCTGTCTCTCGTTCCCACCATTCATGCCTGAAAAGGAGGCAGACCAAGAGCAGGGCCTCCCCTTCTTGTTTTCAATCTCCCTTATCTTTTAGATATGACAGCAAGGATTCCTGTCTTGCTTATACTGACAATCAATCTACATCGAGACCCCTTCCATCTGTAAAGGAACAAGGATCACAGATGGACAGATAAATGTTTCCATTCCTTGCTTCCTGGAAAGCAGCACATCTAAGAGAGCAAAATAGAAATCACCCCCTTGTCCTCCCTTCCAGGGCTTGTCAGAAGAGAATCTAGACCAGTGCTTCTCAACCTTCCTAATGTCATGACCCCTTATACAGCTCTTCATGTTGTGGTGACCCCTGCAAATGATCAGCCACTGCCAGAAGTGCCAAAGAGTTTCACCTATGCTAACGATCATGCCATCACCGCTCTAGCAGGGAACTTGGAAATGGTTGAACAGAAGCACTCCGAAGCTCTAGATCAGTGTTTCTCAGCCTTCCTAATACCACAACCCCTTAGAATATTAAGTTTCCCTACTCCAAGCATGGGCAAACTTAGGAATTGTGGGAGCTGAAATCCAAATCACCTGGAGGGCCGAAGTTTGCCCATGCCTGGGTACTCAGACTCTAGGAGGCCAAGGGTGGAATCCCTGCTCAGACGTGGAGCAAGCCACACTCTCTCAGCCTCAGAGGCTCTGGGCCCTTCTTACCGGGCCCCGGCGGCTCCAGGTCCACCACTTCCACGATCTCCTCCGCGCCGCCGCCTGACACGAGCAGGAGGGCCCCTGACCCCGCCGCCAGGGTCTCTTCCCCGCCGCCAGGGTCCGCCATGCCGCCTGCCTGCCTGACTCCACAACACGCCACACGCGGCGCCTGGCCCTGATCTCCCCAGCCGCTCTCCTCTTCCGCCCGCCCCTCCCTCGCGAGGCATGAGGAGGAGGAGAAAGCCCTTCCGCCAATCAACGAAGGGAATAAATGGGAACAAACCCCTAACTCATCAGTACGGCCGTCCTGATTTGTTGCTTTCACATTCCAAACCAGGCCTCATTTCCTAGGCGCCGCTTTGCTCTCTGCGTAGCCTGTCACCGTAAGGGAATGGGAGGAGCCAAAATATCTCCACCAATCAATGAAGACAATAAAAAAGGGAGACCTTCCCCTAACTCATTAGTACGGCCCTCCTGATTGGCCGCCTTCACATTCCAAACCGGGCCCTATTTCTTAGGAGCCGATTTGTTCTCTGCGTTATCTGTCATCTTGAGGGAGGGGGAGGAGCCAAAATTTCTCCACCAATCAACGAAGGGAAAAAATGGGGACAAACCCCTAACTCATTGGTACGATCCTCCTGATTGGCTACTTTCACCTTCCTAGCCAAGCCCCATTTCCTCGTAATGCGTTGCTTTCTACCGTGAGGTAGAGGGAGGAGCTAACATCCCTCCACCAATCAATGAAGAGGGTAAAAGGGAGGCGGGAATACCAACTAATCAGTACGGTCCATCTGATTGGCTGTTTTCACATTCCAAACCAGGCCCCATTTCCAAGGAGCCGCTTTGCTCTCTGCGTTGCCTGTCACCATGAGGGAGGAGGAGGAGCCAAAATCCTTCCACCAATCAATGAAGGGAATAAATGGGGACAATCCCCTAACTCATTGTTACGATCCTCCTGATTGGCCACTTTCACATTCCGAGCCAGGCCTTATTTCCTCGAAGCGCTTTGCTCTTCACCATGAGGTAGAGGGAGGAGCTAACATCCCTACACCAATCAATGAAGAGGGTTAAAAGGGGGGGAGGGGAAATACCAATTAATCAATAGGCCCTTCTGATTGGCTACTTTCCAATTCCGTGCAGGGAGGCCGAAGGGTGTCAAGGGAGTTGTAGTCTCAAGTTCCTCTGCTGCTGTCCATGGCTCTCGGTCTTACCCAGCATGCATCAGGAAGGGCCTAGAGAGCATTCCCCAAGATGGCGGCTGTTTGTCTTCGCGTGCAGGGTAGGGAGGGAGTCTGAGGCTGTTTCTGGAGTGGATTTTGGGCTGGCGTGTGAGGAGGGAGGAGAAAGAGAATGGGAGGGAGGCTCTCAGGGGAGAAAATGGACACCGTGGTTTGTGAATCCTTCCTCAAGAATTACGAAATGCTCCATAATCCAAAATGGTCCACATAAGTGGTTGAGGAAGTGACACCTTTCCTTTAGGGCCGCTCAATGTGCGCAAACTTCGTTTCATGCACATTATTAAAAAGAAATTGTGCATAGATTTGCCTTCAGACTGGGCATCAATGAAACATAATGTATTTTAGGTTTGGACTTGGGTCTCATCTCCAAGGTGTTTCATTATGTATTTCCTATTTTGTAAACAAAACAAAAATCCAGCACAATCTGTTCCCTCGCATTTCAGATAAGGGATGCTTTACCTTCATCAGTATTTAGTAATAGCACGACTAGAGGAAAGGATTTGTAGAAGTGTGTTTGGACTCTAGTGCCCATCATGCTGAAGATGGTAGAGTTCAAAGACATTTGGAAGTCCAAGGTTCTCTACCACCAATCACTTCCCGAAGTTGAGAGAATGATGGTGCATGAATAGTTTTTTGAAACCTCCTTTTCACTATATAGCAGTTTTGTGAAGTTAGTTATACGGAGACAGCAGCCGTCATCCAATGATATTTATGGCTGACCCCATCCAACAGGCTGTGTTGGATGGGATCACACTCCCCTGAAGACATAGGTCCACAGTCTGGGGCTGATCCTGGACTCATTGCTGTCCCTGTGACCTCAGGTGTCGGCAGTGGCCAGGAGCCCCTTTGCACAACTTAAAACTTGTGTGCCAGCTGCACCTAGAGACGCCAGACTTGACCATGGTAATCCACGCCTTAGTCACATCCCGCGTAGACTACTGCAACACTCTCTACATGGGGTGGCCTCTGAGGATAGTTTGGAAGCTTCAACTGGTTCAAAGTTTGCAGCCAGATTACTAACTGGAGACCCGTACAGGGAGAGATCCACTCCCATGCTACGGCAGCTCCACTGGCTGCTGGTCTGCTTCCGGGCTAAATAAAAAGTACTGGCCATAACCTTTAAAGCCTTAAATGGTTTGGGCCCAGACTATTTAGCAAATCGCATCTCCACCTACAAACTAACGCGGGCACTGCAGTCATCGGAGGACGCTCTGTTCTTGGTCCCAACCCCCATCTCAAACATGGCTGGTGGGAATGAGAGAGCGTTCTCCGTGATCGCCCCTCCACTGGAAGTCCCTAAAGAAATAAAGCTGGATCCCTCCGTTCTCTCTATTAAAAAAAAACCAAAAAAACAGCTGAAAACCTATCTTTCTCACAAGCATATGGAGAGGAGGAAGATTAGATGAAGAGACTGCTGATTAGACAGTATAAATGCACTCGGGCCTTGTAAGATCACATTAGCCCATTTAACAACTTTGGCCATAAAATCTATGCACACATTTGTGAACCTTCATGTTGTACTGATATATTAATTTGGATGTGTTATGTTTAAATTCTATGTTAGAATTTTCAATTGATTACATTTTATTTAAACTATAGTTGTTATACTTAAGTTGCTCTTTATGTGGGGTTATCTTGGGTTTTTATATTTGTATTTACTGTTATTGAGGCATTGAACGTTTGCCTTTTTGTTTGTTGGAATTCACCCTAAGTCCCCCAGGGGAGATAGGATGGAATATAAATAAAGTATTATTATTATTATTACTCGATGCACTGTGAGAGGTCATTCCTAAGATATAAACAGAAGCAGAGGAAGATAGTGTTTCCTTGTCTTTGGTCCCTTAGTACACAATTATTGTACAGGGTGTCCATAAAGCCAATTTACCATTTAACAGCAAAGCAAATGGTCAAGAGACTTTATTGGCACTGTACTTTGATCTCACCTGAATTGGGATTTCTGTTTTCATATAATATTGAGGTATCTTTGCAAGAGAGCTCTCCAAATCCCAACATTTGGCAAGGTTTGTTCAGAGGCTGAGAGAGTGAGACTTGCCCAACGTCACCCTTGGCCAAGCAATGATTCAAACCCTGGTCCCCAGAGTCATACTCCGACAGTCAAACATGGCACAGTGCAAGCCCCAATAGCAAAATGTAAAGCAGGGTGTGGTATGTTGCAATATGTTTGTCCTGAAGAGAATTTTGCCCATCAAAAATCTCTGCTATAAAATTTCTTAGAACATTTAACAATCATGTCCATTGGCCACTACATTAAAATATATTTTAATTTCTTCCAAAGATTGAGAATGCCACAGGTATTTTACAATAAATTATAAGGCACCTTAGAAGGATATTTTGCATTATGTGTACAGATGCAAAATGTTAAATTAGTTAGCTCTCAGGACAGCCTAATTTTGTAATGTTGTGCATACTTTCTTGGGAATAAGTCTCACAGAACCTTGTGAGGTAAACATACATAAGATGAGCCTGTCAAGCACATTTTTAGGTGTTCGTAATTTTAGTTCCTCCGCTTACTGGCACAATGCACAAATTCAGATCCGCTGTTGAGTCTGGAGGCAGCACTGATAGAGGATCTTGTTGAAACTTTTAGTAGAAGTACAATCTCATGCAAGTAGCTTGTCCCCTTGCAGGCCTTGTTTCTGCCACTGTGAATCGAGCTGCAGGCTTTATTCTGCCTTTCAAAACACCAGCCAGATCCATCAACAAAAGCCACAGGGTGTGGAAAGAAGTGCAGACAAAGCCACAGCCTGGTAGACAGGTCTATGAAGATGTGGAATATATTCCCCCAAAGAAAGCCAAGAACCCTATGAAGCCAGTTGCTATTGCTTGGTGAGCATTGCATTTTCTGTTTGCTTTATTAACACTTCAGTACTCCTAGCCTTGTAATTATTTGTAGCATAGAATGTTTGGAAAACCTGTCTGAGAGAAAGACTGGAAAGAAGTAGGAACTGTGTGACTCTCCAGTTTTAGACGGTGTCTCCTACCATCTGCTAGCATTAGCCACACTACCAAGAGCCAATGGAAATTATAGTTATATTAAAATTATTTCCTGTTATTGGGCCATGAAACTTCTCCATACATGGGCTATGTTCAAAACCAAGAAAATAACACGACCCTGGGAAGAAATAGGATCTTGTTATCTGGGCTTTAAATAAAATCTGTGTTTGCTGAACTCTGAAACAAAGAATCCGTCATTAGATTCCATCTGGCAAAAGGCAAAAAATGATAATTTCTGACATTTAATTAGGATATAAGCTTTTGAGATCTTGTTTATATGAAGCAGAATGAAAAGACTGATAGTGTATTGCAGGAATTAGAAACCTTCCAATATCCCTTACTACTGGTCAAGCAGGTAGAATTGATGGGAAATTGAATCCATCAATATATGGAGAGTCATAAATTCTACTACAAGATTTCATTGTGTGTGTTTTTTAGCTTGATTGTATTTATTTTCCAAGGGCCATTGGTTTTCCTTCTGGTATCATCCTTTTCCTGCTCACTAAGAGAGAAGTAGACAAGAACCGTCTGAAACAGCTGAAAGTTCGACAGAAAATGAAAGTTTCCAATGAAGGGGCGTATGAACACAAGCGGTACAAAGCATCATCATTAGTAACAGAAGGACTCTCAGGAACAAAGACTTAAGCTTGGGGTGCTACGTTTGCAGGATCCTGAACTGTGGCTACAATATTATTCACTTCACTTTCAAATCAAGTGTCCTGGTGAATTCTCCGGACTTACTTGGAGTATAATTCAGTCCTATTCAACATCTATAGAATACCTTTTAAAAGCTAAACAGAATTGATCAATACATTTTCCACAACCAGTGATCTTCAGTATTGAACGTCTTTCACTGATAGCACGTTGGACTAGAAGTGGACTAGAAGGTAATGAGACAAAATTACAGGTGCAAAAAATGAAATAAATAGCATTGAATACTGAGGACTCAGTAAAAGCCCCTCATTATATCTTCTCAATGTGTAATAAAAAGGATTCTGAGCAGCATGTTTTAGAAATAAATTTCTTAGATTCCCAATTACTACTATGGGTAGTTACCCATGTCTTGCCCCATTTCCTCTTGCCAAATTACTATAAACATGGTCCATTACATGCTTTAAAAATAAGAATTAAGGTGGATTTTTTGCATATGCTTGATAGGAAATGCAAATAGGTCTATTCTCTAAAGATTCAACTGCGTGCTGATCATATTTCCCATTATCCAATAAAGTTCTTAATGTTAAATCCACTAATTACACTGAGCAGGATATATATTTACCATATTTAATTTCCTAAAAACAGGTGGAGAAATTATTACATGGTCCTTTTGTGGTATTAATTCTTGTGTAATGATATATATTGGGACAATGAGCAACTTCTGTTTGTAATAATTTTTGATAAATTGGCATATTGTTTCAACTGCTCCTCCATGTGCAAAATGCCTTCTGTTGTCCTTACATGCCTATAAAGATTTTATAGTCATTTCACTCTAATGTACCTTTTGGCACATATGCCATTCACATATTCCAGTAAGTTTCTTAATGGCTGCTATGCTGTAACAATAACAGGTTGTCAGATGAGGTAAAAGGCAATTTTCTACCCAATTAATTATGTGATCCATTTGTTGACTATATAGCATTGCTTTATGTGTTTTCTACTGCATTTTATCCCACAAAATTGTATAGATTTTATTTTAATGTATATTTTTTCTCATTAGTTAGCTGTCCTTTAATTTTGTTTATTTGAAAGGTGGGATTTTTCACTAATTCATTTTCATCCATTGTTTATTTGAAAGAAGTATTGTTTTTCTCCAGCCGTTCAATATTTGGATGTGAGCAGGTGAAGATGCTTCTTATTCTTTAACTCACAAGTGGGAAATTGCAGCTGTAGGGCTGTGTGTCCCTAAAGGTGTTTTGCAGGCCCTTAACCCCTCAGACCTCCTATAATGTCTTTTCTGTACACTCCCAGAAGATAAACGGCCTCTCTTCAAAGACTACAACAGTGGTTCTCAACCTGTGGGTCCCCAGATGTTTTGGCCTTCAACTCCCAGAAATCCTAACAGCTGGTAAACTGGCTGGCATTTCTGGGAGTTGTAGGCCAAACACCTGGGGACCCACAGGTTGAGAACCACTGATTACAGGAACAGTGATTAGCCTTGGCCTTTTAAATAGATTGTGGGAGTGAGGGAGTCCAGGATTGCTTAATCTAAACAATATTCTTCAAAGGCCAGACAAGGACTTCTAGCCTCTTCTGGTTTATTCTGTTTTTATTTTTTAGACAATCTGCACAACCCCAGAGGGTTTGGGGATCTGGAGTGGCCGTGGTTGCTTATCCTTGCCTGTTCATTTGTGGACCAAGACCATAATCGTATGGGTTAAAAAGACTCCCTCAAAACGTTCTGAAATTTGGATCTGAAACGCTTGCAATTCTGTTCTGATGCTACATGTCCTATGGCCTTAGTTGCCATTCAAATTTAAATAAGACACATGTTAGTAGTAGTAGTAGGAGGAGCAGTACTAATATTTATACTTTTATGTATACGTCTAGGCATTTTAGTAAAAAAAAAAATCAATCCAAAAATGGTTTTGACTTAGCTGTGGTTCTATTGTGTATAGACTGACTTTGGGGGTGTAATGATTGCAACGTATCTTAAATTCTTAGATTGCAATAGTATAACAAAGCTATTTATTTGTTTACTCAACAAGATTTCAAGGAGTTTTACCCCCAAATAAGTATACATTAAATTGAAACCTTACACTGTAAGTACATATTTTACTTAATATAGGGAAATGTGTAGGAAATAAATGAATATAATCATCATTAGCAGCAGTAGTGGTAATGGACAATAGTCTTCGGCTCATTTACATGGAACTAAACCCCACTGAACTTATTAAGATTTAGTCCTGAGCAGGCATGCACAGAATCACACTGTCTCATAGAGACAATGAATATAAGCCCCTTCTCACACTGCTGCAACATATAAATATATTGGAAATCTTAATTCAAAAATATAATGTTTATTTGCATGTATTCAGTGGAGCCCTGAAATTTTTGGAATAGCCATCAACAACATGAATAAGTATGCTGACAAAATGCAAGTAAGAGATAAGCTGAAATGGCCAAGATATATCACACCAATTATAGGAAGAGCTCCACAATGGTAATGGAGAAAAAAAGGCAGATTGCATATTAAGATCCATATCTACACTGTATACAATATATGGTTTCCCACTTTTATCCTTATCTCTGTCCAGTACATAAATCCCCTAGCAGCTGCTATACATGAACTAGAGGTGAAAGCCGCGCAGCAGAACATATTCAGAAAATCACGTTCCATTTGTCTTCTGGGGAAAGTTGCCAAAAGTCCTAACACAAAAGCAGAGCCTCCACCGCCTAATCTCTGCTGCCTACAATCTGCAGGAGGAAAGTAAAGATGTAAACAATGTCTGTGTAGATCTTGAGTGCTCCATACACATATTCCTCAGGGCTGATGGTATGTTTCCTGTTGCCTAGCACCAACTGAGTATCATAGGCAAGGAACTGTAAAAAGGCAAAAGAAAGCAGTTAGGACACAAACTTTGGAAAAGCATAGATTCTTAAAGTTGGAAATTACCCCAAGGGCCATCTAGTCCAACCCCATAGAGAGCTAAGAGATAATTCCTTAAAATATCATCTTTGAAAGCTATATATATTACTAAGTCAGGCTAAGGGATGGAAATAGAGTATGGGGAGGGAAAATTTCCTTTCACAAATTTTGACTTTAAGAGCCATCCATGCCTTTAAGTCTTGTACATAATTACAGGGTGTTTCAAAATAATTTCAAAGCAGTATATTTCACAATCAGGTCCATTAAAAAAAAACACCGGATATAATTCCACTAAGCCCAGGGATATTACTGAGTTGGTATAAACACGTAACTGGGAAGTTCATGGAAATCAGAAATATACTTGATCGAGTTAATCTGGGGCTACAGGTCTAAGAATACATAGTGAACAAAACATGTTCCACTTTTATCAGTGTTCTGTAACATACTCTTCAACCCTGTGGCCAAAATCTCACATCTGTTCAACTCTTCCTAGCCATCATCTTACATACTTCTCCCTTCTTGGAGTTAGTTGCCACAATACAAACATTACTTTGATATACACCACTTGTAGAGAGACTCAGGCTGCATCTACACTATAGAATTAATGCAGTTAGACACCATTTTAACTGCCATGGCTCAATGACATAGAATAAAAGACTTTGTAAAATTGTATTCATTCTGTTTATTCTACCATGATGCATCCCTATTCTCCCAGTCAAAATTAGCACATATCCATGAGGCTAGTAATTGCATTCTCGCTCAAGGGTGAGGAGGCAACCTACCCAATAATTTTAGATAAGCAAAAATGTCCCCAAGATTCTGTAGTGCTATGGAAATGACAGCACATATGCAGCAAGCCCGTACACACTACAGTGACAATAAACCATGGCATGATAGGGTTGTTGTAGGTTTTTTGAGCTATATTGCCATAGATGCAGGCGAAATGTCAGGAGAGAATGCTTCTAAAACATGGCCATATATCTCAAAAAACATACAACAACCCAGTGATTCCAGCCATGAAAGCCTTCGACAATACATGGCATAATATTCATTCAATGGAAGGGAAAATAATTCCAGAGCCTGCCCTCTTCTTTAGTCTAACTACTATGGGACTTGAATGGGGGTGTGAAAGCTCAGTGGGGCAAAAACACCAAAATATCCTAGATTGAAGTGGTGATTTTCCCCCCTCTAGATGTTTTTGGATTTCTACTCCAGGCAGCATGACCAATAGAAATGGCATGGAAAAAACGGGTGGAATTCAAATTATTATATGCAATATCATACAAATGATAAACAATACACAGATAATGTTCTGATTTTGCACCAATCTTGCTTGCCTGGAGAATCCTTGTGACAGGACAGACAACCAATCTAAAAGAGCAGTTGAACTAAAAGTTTTTTGGATAGCAATTCAGTATGTTCATGGAAACTCTCTACTAACCAGGGTGAAAGCAATTGCACCAATGGCTGCATACAACATGTGGAGCCAGGGGACCTAGAAGAAAAGAAAATTAGTAGGTTGATTTATTTCTGATTTACTCAAATGTAACAAAACTTGGAGCCCTCATTTAATGTAGCTATGATGGGAATTGAAGGCGAACATCAGCACAGATTCCAGATCTATTAAGGGGGTGCAAACTTGGAAAATTCACAAATGATGATGTACAATTATTGATCATCCATAGTCTCTACTGTTCACAACTAATCAGTGGTGGCCAGTAGCTTCCAAAATAGGTTCAGCACCTCAGATAAAAGTTTGGGCTAAAACTCTTGAGCACATTCGCCAGCTTTCACTGTAAGTTAGCTTCCATGGAGATGGGTACTTAGCCAAATGATCTAGCAAAATTAGATGGGAATTCCTATCAGCATCAAGTGATCTGGTTCCATCACACATACATTTGACCCATAATGGACAACAAGAACAGGTCAAGTATCCAAAACAGAAAAATTGCTATAACTACCATTTGTCCCATGCCCCATTTGATTTTTCATATACTTACATATTTGAAGGACAGGACAATGGCTGTGATAATCCCAGTCACCATAACGACGATGCCCAATACACAGAACAAGCCAGCACAGGATGTGAAATCCACCTGTGAATGAGAGTAAGAGACACGATGCAGGGTGCAAGCAACACATGATCCATTCTGCCTAAGCCTGAATTTGTCAAACAGGAGTCTTTTTGACAGGATCTGTATGATGTTGTAGACTGAATTTTGGACTACAACTGATGTACAATGACACTGCACTGATATGAAATAGCCAGGGAGAGTGATAGAATTTTCTTCCCCTCTCCTTGTCCCCGAAGCCCTCCATATCACCCAGAAAGCAACTCCATTTATGCTGACCATTTAATGCAGTTCAAAGCTAGCTTCAAACTAATAGTCAAACTAACAAAAGTGCAAAAAAGAATACCCTTAAGTTTAAGGAAAAGAATAGGACCCTTGACAGACTTTTAGGACAATGTTTTGGAAAGCACCTCCACTATTTCCTTATGATCCCTAAATGTAAAGGTAAAGATTTCCCCTTGACATTAAGTCTAGTCGTGTTCGACTCTGGGGGATGGTGCTCATCTCCATTTCTAAGCGGAAGAGCCAGCGTTGTCCATAGACACCTCCAAGGTCATGTGGCCAGCAGGTCTGCATGGCGCACCGTTACCTTCCTGCTGAAGCGGTACCTATTGATCTACTCACATTTGCATGTTTCGAACTGCTAGGTTGGCAGAAGCTGAGCCTAACAGCGGGAGCTCACCCTGCTCCCTGGATTTTAACCTATGACCTTTCAGTCAGCAAGTTCAGCAGCTCAGCGGTTTAACCCACTGTGCAAATGGAGTGCCTAGCTTTTTTCTCACCCCTGTCATCATCATCATAACTTTTTAAAAGTAGAAAGTGATATGTCTGAAGAAGTGTTTATTCTAGTGAGGACATGAAAAAGAATGCTTGGTTATACCTTCTTCACATGTTGTTTCAAGCTTACTAAGAGAGTGCATATTTAGATTGAAGAATTAATACAGTTTGACACTTCTGTAACTACCATAGCTCAATGCTCTTTGAATCTTTGGAGTTGTAGTTTTACAAAGACTTTAGCCCTCTTAGCCAAAGAATGCTGGTGCCTCAACAGGATTCCATAGTACTGGGCCATGGCAATTAAAGTGGCATCAAATTGTATAAATTCCACAGTGTAGACACACCCTAAGTAATGTCTGAATACGGATGTGAACCATAAAATCCACAGTAAAGTCAAAATTCAATAGGAAGAACATAAACTCTTCAGCTACCATGGTCAATAAGTGCAAGAACGCACTTTATTCTTAAGCTGAATTTTCTTCTAAGATCATTATTTAACTTGAAAATAAGCTTGATGTTTTCTGCATACTGTGTTTAGAAGGGAAATTGCTTCTTTCTTCACTGCAGCAAATAAGGCAGTTGGGGAGAGTTGCAAAAAATCCACAAGGGAGAAGAATGCATGCCAGTGGGATATATTCACAGAAATTGAATATAGAGAAGACTTCGAGACCATTCAGCTTGGAGAATTATAGCAGCTTAACACCACTCTAACTGCCATAACCCCATTTTATGGAACAGTGAGATTTATAGTTTGTAACACCAGAGCTCTCTGACAGGGAAGGGTAAATAGCTCACAAAACTGAAAATCCCAGAATTCAATCACTGAGCCGGTCGTTAATGTGGTGTCAAACTGCTATATTTTTCAGTGCAGATAAAGCCTGTATTTCCTCAACCTTCATTTGCTGAAAAGAATTCAGCATGTTGGAGAGAAGGGACTCATGTTTCTGCTAACCCAGCAATGTTGCCTCAAAACAAGAAAAAGAAAGCACCTCACCTTTGTTTGGAAGCAGAAGATTGTGACAATTATGGCCACAATTGCGGTGATTAGCATGGCAATTAGCACAGCCTTTGTACTGTACATGCTGCAAAGAGAAAAGGAAACAATTGGTTTGTTTCAGGTTTGTAACCTGTAAGACCAATTCAACAGCAAATGACACCATTTAGTGCAGATGTATAATATACCAAAGGGCAAGAAGATGAAAATGTGGAGAATGTCATAACAGAACAAAATTAATGCTGTTTTATTAGCCATCAAGAGAAGAAGCATAATGATTAGGGCTGGGCGGTTTCGTTTCGTTAATTCGTAATTCGTTAAAAATTCGTTATTTTTTTGTTAACGAAGCGATAACGAACCATTCTGGAGCAACTTAAAAACGAAACGAATTTTTCAATTCGTTTCGTAAATGCTTCGTATTTTGTTATGTATTCGTTTCGTTATTGGTTTGAGGTCGTTTCGTTATTATTTCTGCATGTCTGGGGCAAGTTTTATAGTTGTTTTTTGTTTAATTAGTGAAAAAAAATTATAATATCACACCAACAGTCAACAACAGAGGGAGAGGGAAGCTTCAGAAGTTTTTTTAGCGTATTGCGCGATCGCGGCCGCCATTAACGAATCGATTTGTTATTGTTTCGTTATTGTTTTGTAATTTTTTTACCATTTACGAAATTTCGTAAATATCGAACTTTTTTTAAGGAAAATTTCGGAATTCTTTTAAATATCGAAACGCAAAAAACCCCAAAAAACGAATCGATTTTAGAAACAAATTTTTCCGTTGTTACCCAGGCCTAATAATGATGCTTTACTCCATAGCTTTATATGCAGTTAGAAGCAAGCTGATATCAACTGAACTGACTTCCAAATAAATATACTTCAGGTCACTTAAATCTTCCACTTGACAGGTATCTGTCATTATATTTTTTTAATTCTGGCATAAACAGTAACGATGAGTGTCTACTATAATTAAGTGCCGCCATGTTAAACTATCTAGTAAATGAAAAGGGGCAAAATGTTCTTCCGTATTTTAATGATCAAGAGATTTTCACTATACTTATACTTAGTCCCATTGATGTTTAACTGGGCTCTCTTTCAAAACAGACCAGCTGCAAACATGTTTCAAGAACATCTGAGCATAGAGGGTTACTTTAAAAAAGTAATTCATTTCCATTTGAGTTGAGTCAAAAGAGTTCTTCCTATTTTGATAGTGCAGCAAGATTCAACAAATGACTGCCATCACAGACATTTTTTTTCTGGAAAAGTGTGTACAAAATGGTCTGCTAAAGGTTAACAATCTGGAGTGTGCTTGTTTTCCAGACCTGGATAAGTTTATTTTATTTATTATTTATTTAATTTATAAAAGTATTTATATTCTATCTCACATGAGAAGATCACAAGGCAGCACTGTTGAAATGTCTCACCTTGTTTTAAGGAGTGTCATTCATACTCACTACATCCCTAGGAAAACATCCTATTATTAATTTTTTATTTATTAACTTTATTAATTTTTTTAAAAGAGAACAATTACAAATGTTTACAAAAATTGAATAAAGAAATCCCTAGGGCCAATTTATAGCCATATATAAGAGAGATCCATAATAGGAAGAAAATGTAGAGTAAAGAAACAAAATAATACCACGTGAAGCGATCTATAAGCAATAAGGAAAATGTATATATGTGTGTAGGTTGTTTAGATACTGGTTTCCTTTTTTTCTTCTTCTTCTTGGTTTTCTCTTTTTCTGCCCCCTTCCCCCTCCTATGCTCCTACTTTTCTCTAAAACCATGTTCACCTACTTTCACTGTATTAAGAACCAGTATCATAATCATGTCAATGACATTTTACCTATAGATTTCCTCTTTTTATGTGGTTAAGGATGTTTATGTCATTCACCAATAAAAATGATTTATTTTTTTTTAAAAAAAAGGAAAACATCCTATTCTGAGAGTCAGTGTATCACCTCTAATTAGAAACACAAGTCTAGTGGCTAGAGAGCAGACTTTTAAAAAGAAGAATTAATAGCAGTTATTTTTGTTGCTTACCTAGCAATGGTGCCTGTCATAAATCCCATGGCCAGTGTCTAAAAGAAAAACAGAACCTAATTTGATCACTGTCGCCCCAAATATTGTCACAGTATCTGTACATGCACATGTATATTGAGAGCTTCAATTCTGAACTAGCTTCTCAATCAGCCTGAAAACCTAAGTGAAGCATTTTAGTCTACCTCACAGGACTACTGAGAACATTTTTTAAAATAAAAACAAGCAGGTAGAGAAAAGTCAAATATTCATACCTGACTATTTTGGAAGAAGGCTGTGATAGCCATTTAATGAGTTAAATTTAAAATGTAACGTCTTTCTCTCCAATGCAACTGAAACACCAGTTCAAAAGATTCAATTATTTCCACACACCCTCCAACAAAAATGTGTACTTACAAAGACGAAGAGTAGGATGAGATTCCATGGAAAGCGTCTCCTGGAAAAATTCAAGAAGGCAGAATATAGGTTAAGTAATGAGTATCACTCCACATAGGGACTTCACTTTAGACCAAGAGTTTCATCAACTAGCAATCTGAATCAAAGTGGTCAGTTGTGTCTTAGCTTTAACCAAAACTAAATCTCTTCTTCAATCAGAAAGAGAGCATTATGGAGCTAAAGACCAAAAAATAGCAACCACTTTCCCAAACTTGCTTCCAGTAGCTGCTTTTTATCATTGTATATTAAGTTAGCCCTCATTCCTCCAGTACAACTTTTCCCAATCAGTACTGTGCAGATATACTCAATCGTTCCCAGCCTGGATGGTGGGCATAAGAGAATCTGGCTGGGCAAAATGGGACCTGCAGTCAAACACCTCTGTGATTTCAAGTTGGGGTAAGCGTCTCTACCATACTGTACACCTCTAGTTTTTCATAGCTCTACAAAATCCTGCCCAAAGTTAGCCTCAAATTTCCTCACAACCTTTCTGTCCAAATCTGCTTCTACTTCACCTAAATCCAACTACTTGTTTTAATTCTACATTTTATCAGGTGGAGCCTGGTTGTCTATCTTAGATGCACAACAATAAGGAGTTTGTTCATATTTTAATTATTGACTGAATCAAAGGAATCTACCTGATTTACACTCCTTTCCTTTCAAGAGCTGACATTTGAGGGACATAAACTCCCTGCTATCAGATTTGGTGAACAATTCCAAGACTTGTCTGTGAGATTATAGGACTATTTCCAGGCCATCCAGAGAAGAAAGAGGGTCTGGGGATTTTTTTTACAATGGGAATAAGGATTTCTATATCACAAGGCTGGAGATCATACAGCTCCTCCAGATCTTGTTAGATTGTTGTTCCCAGTGTTCCTCATCATTGTCTGTGCCAGCTAAGGGTGCATCAACACTGTGGATTGAATGCGGTTTGGCACCACTTTAACTGCAATGGCCCAATGCTATGGAATTATGGAGAGTGTCATTTTAAAAGTGGTTCACTAAAAGTGCTGGTGGTTCACTAAACTACAAATTCTTGGATGACAATTCCTGGATGACACAGCATTGAGCCAGGGCAGTTAAAGCAGCATCAAAGTGCATTCATTCTACAGTGTAGATGTATTCTAAGGCTGCTGGGTGCTGTCTTCAGCATCTTGAGAGCTATATAATTTCTGCCCCTGTTGTACAGAGTTCTTCTTCTTTCTTGCCCACCAAGTAGATTCCCAACTATACCTAACACACACTCACCGTGGGCCTTCACAACATACAAGCACCAGATAAGTGACCAGGAACACACCACTGTAGGCAGGAAAAAAGAAAAAGTGAGATGTTTACATTTCCACTGAATGATCCTTCTCCAAAGACAAAACGCCTGGGTTATGATGTACAGTAAGCTCCTCCAAGTACTTGAAAGCAATGGAACAGGGTCCCAACCTCTGAGATATGGAGAGAAGCTCATTTAGACTGTGTTTCTTTTGCCATTCGTGGCATATAGGGGATTTTCATGCCAAATCAGCACAGTGGGATGCCCCCAGAAATTGATATGTGACCTTGATATTAGCCTAACTCCATCCTCACAGGATTGTTACGAGTGGGAAATGTGTAATGCCACTTTCAGATACTAATTTCAGAGAGGGTAGAACAAAAAGGAAACAAACAAACTAATCATAGAAGAATCTGGCTCACACCTAGGTTAGTATATGACAGCACTGGTCTGTAAGCACATGAGAGAAGATGATACTTACTATGATGTATAATACACAGCAACATTTCTCCGGACAAACTCGGACACAGGCTCACTGTGGAAAGTCAACATTATGTAGCAGAGTTAAATATCTTTTCTCACATTAGCCATTATATGGAGAAAAAACCCCAGAAAACATACAACTTCACTCTCAAAACATATTTTATTTTGGAATAAAGTTTATTAAAATATCCTTATAGTTATTTCAAGCTCTAATGCTGATTATTACTCACTGACAATATTAACGTATTTCCATGTAGCTTATTAACAATAATGAAAATTCAGGAACAGAAGACAATATCTGTAGATTAAAAGCATAGTTGGAAGGCATGCTGCAATGACAGTTATACTTTAGAAATCATCTGAAATTAGCAGAACTTAGAAAAGTTACTTTTTTCTGGATTACAGTGACAGTTCTGTATGGAGAGCCTTATAAATGCTAGTCCAAAAATACACTTCTCCAAGACATTACCATTTCATATTCAAGGAAGTTTTTAAAATGTCTAACTCCAAGTATTTACAATAGACCCTTAGGGCCCTTCCACACAACCACATAACCCAGAATATCTGCTTTGAACTGGGTTATCTGAGTCCACACTGCCATATATTCCAGTTCAAAGCAGATAATGTGGGATTTTATTCAGCTCTGTGAAAGGGGCCTCAGTATCCACTAGCTCTGGTTTTTAAACCCTATGGATACTAAAATCCATGGATGCTCAACTATCATTATATAAAATTGTGTACTAAAATCATGTCCCCTGTATAAAATGGCAAAATCAAAGTTTACATTTTTGATTTAAAAAAATATTTTTGAGCCATGGATGGTTGAATCTATGGATGCAGAATGCATGACTATGAAGGTCCAACTATATTTGCAGGAAATGAGCCATCAGAAGGAGAATAAATAGAAAACTTGAGTGGCCAAAGTATAGTCAGACTATATTAGGGGCCCATGAATGTCCTGGCAGGATACATAAAGAGTAACTTTTCCCAGTTCTGATCTGCACTGTTCTATTCCCCTGACACCTAATAGCTAAGTTATATCTTAAGATAAATAAATAAATGATCACCTAATCTGCATTGGCTTTAACATGCCTGTATGATTTCCATGTCTGCAGGGGATATGTCTACAAACACACTGATATTTCTGGAAACTGGATAATTCCAAGCGCTATTAAAATTAATGACGTTTGATCCCAGATTGCTGTACAATTGTGCTACAGGACCTTGATATTCCTGGATAGGTATCCTCTGTAGGCCTTTGCTAGGTCGGCCAACACAACTCTATAGTAACTTCTGGGGGAAGCATACCATACAATTACACTGAAAAACCTAGCAAATGCCTAGAAAGACCATTTTCCCCAAGGTGTGGGTAAATGAAACCATGGACATGGATTCCATAGTTATGAGGGTCTTGCTGTAGACCACATCTGGAAGCTGAAAGCAAGCCTACTAATTTTCTGCATGAGCAAGAAATGGGAAGGCAACAATTTGTTAAAATCTACAATTTGATGATGGTCCCCGCACAGAGAAAAGCAACACAGGTGCAGGACTGCCCCAGTGGAGACTTACACAAAGGAGAAGATCGCAATGATTGCCACTGTTATGATGAGCTGCACTGAGATGATGGCATAGACCTGGAAACAAAGACATGGTTTATTTATTTGTTTATGTATTTATTTTATTTATTGGTTTGTTTGTTTGGAAACTTGACCCTCTCCCAGAACCGGGATCTAATGCAGCTCACAATGTAATTCAAAACAACTGAAAGCACAAATTGTGATTTTAAAACATAGTTTAATCATGCTAAGGAAAAGAGGAACAGGCCTTTTTTTAAAAAACAGGGCTGCTTGCAACCTATGTGTGTGGGGGGATTCCTCACCCTTTTTATTCTTTGTTTCTTTTGGCGAGAAAAAGGATGGGAGTCTAGAAGGGCTGGGAGCTATAAAAACAGTCTTAGGAGCTACAAATGGCCCAGAGATACATTTTCCCCATCCTCTGCTCAAATCCTCTGAAACACATTTAGGAACCCTATAAAAAGCATTAAAATATACACACCATTCACCCCCACACCCCTATTAAAAGCCCCCACAGCAGCAAACAAGGTTTGTTGGCCAAAGCCTGCCTGAACAAATCTTCTCCACCAACTGACAGGACAACAGAGGGAAGGGGTCAGCCTAACTCCTCTTGGCAGGGAACCACAAAGCAGGAAAGGCTGCTATCAAGGCCCTCACTTCTGTCCTCACAAAATGGGCCTGAGGGTGGTGGGATTCAATATATGTGAATCTGTGCAAATGAACATTCAGAATCTCTCTTCTCCACTAGATGTTAGGACCCCATGAAGGATGGTCATATTCTTGAAGTCTATACTTCAGATCCATCAAACCACGTCCAACATGATCCTCTTCTAGGTTTCATTTCCCACACAAAATTATTTCTCCCATTTGTTTTGTCTTCCCTTACAGGAGAACACAATTATCCCCATTCTTTTCTGAAGCTGGTGGATTTCTGACATCAACCCTGATGTAGATACTAGGCTTGGGCGGTTTCGTTCATTAATTTCGTAATTCGTTATTAATTCGTATTTAAATTAGCTTACGATCCAATATTGAGCCATGCAGGAATTGTGTGAGGAGTAATAAAGATTCGAAACAATTTTTTCAATTTATTTCGTAATTATTTCGTAAATTATTTCGTAATTATTTTATAATTATTTTCGCATGTCTGGTGCAAGTTTTATAGTTGTTGTTTGTTTTATCACACCAACAGTCAACAACAGAGGGAGAGGGAAGCTTCAGAAGTTCCCCCTGTCCCATTTGGAGTTTTTTTAGCATATTGCGCAATCGCGTCCGCCATTAACGAATCGATTCGTAATTATACGAAATTTTGTAAATTTCGAAATTTTTAAAAGGAAAATTTCGGAATTCTTTAAAAAAACGAAACGCGATGGACCCCTAAAAACGAAACGAGTTTAGAAACAAATTTTTCCGTTGTTACCCAAGCATAGTAGATACCTCTGATATCAGCTTAATTGTGCACTATCCCTGTCTCCTTTTTTATTTTGGCTGCAAATAGGAGCCCCCGGTTGCGCAGTGGATTAAACCGTTGAACTTGCTGACTGGAAGGTCAGTGGATCGAATCTGGGGAGCAGAGTGAGCTCCCACTTTCATGCCCAGTTTCTGCCAACCTAGCAGTTTGTAAACATGCAAATGTGAGTAGATCAATAGGTACCACTCTGGGGGGAAGGTAACGGTGACATCCACATGACCTTGGAGGCGTCTATGGGCAATGGCAGCTCTTCGGCTTAGAAATGGAGATGAGCACCATCCCCCAGAGTCGAACATGACTAGACTTAATGTCAAGAGGAAATCTTTACCTTTACCTTTAGGAGCTTCCTTTGCATCATACAGGACCTTATTTTTGCCATTGGCCCCATGTCACATGTTTCATCAGCCCAAAACATTTGAAGGATACCAGACTGGGGATGAGTAGCTTTTCTCAACCTTGGAACTAATGTTCAGGTCTCAGGGAACTCTTTCAAAAAAAACCTCCAGCTCAAAAAACAACCTGTTTTTTCAGTAGTGATATCTCACAGAATTCCTTGCAACTTCTCACAGAACCCTGACTAAAAACCCTTGTCCTGGAAACAGAGACACCTCCCCTTAAAAGCCTTTCCATTTGGGAAAAGAGTGTGTTTCCATTGTCTTTTGTTTTGACATGAGCAGGCAATAAGCCACGATTAAAAAAAAAAAAAACACCCACCAGCAACAATTTTTTTCCAAAGAGAAGGAACAGTCACAAAACCAGAGGTTTACATTGGGAGCTGCCCAGAACCGATTCCATCAAAGTTACCTTGCGGATGAAAGTGTGTCTGACTTTCTTATCATCCCAATCTGCAACACGAAAGGCTCCATCCCCTCCTGAATCACCACTGATATAGCTGTCACCTGTCAAAGGAAGACGTGATGACATTAATCCTGTAGTAATGCACTTTCTTATACTGGAAGAGGAATAACAAATGAGATTTTCTGGACTGGAGAGCTCCATTTAACTTGCCTTGTCTTCAGAGAGGGAAGGAGGGAGGGAAGAAAGGAAGGATGGATGGATCTGTGTGCCAAAGATAATTATGTGTGATAATTATATTAAGAAAGACTGGAAGTCAATATAGGCAAAGGTATATATTATATTGTTAGTCCCTATTATCACATCCAATTATCACACTGCCACTGAATCAATAAGGTTTACCTATCAACCTCACCAATTGCCAAGTGATTCTGCTGTTGGATGAACCAGCAGCATTCAAGCCATACAAAGAACCTGCAATTTTTCTGCAAGGCTGTAACATGTCCCCCACAATCTGAGTTTCATTCTACCTCTGCCAAATCCTATGAAAGGAGCTGTCAATAATAGCCAAGCTGTCTCATGTTCTCATTGCACTGATCATCCAAATTAATTAGATCTCAACACCAAGATATTCTTCAGTGGCTACTATTGTATTCCAAGACTGGAATGTATGGCTGGATGAATCCTTGTCTCAAGAGAGAAACTGAGTGTTCAGCAGGGCACTTTTCACAGCCCTTAGTAAGCAATGCTCCAGTTGTAGTAGCAGATTAAAGGAAAGAGACATCTTAAACCTCTTTCCTGACTCAACCCATCCTTCTCACCACATACACCACATTACATCCTTTAATGTCATATTAAACATCTAAATCTGTCTATTTTTACTATTGTGACACCTTCTATTTTCACTAGTCACTACAAGAGAACTGTCTGCGCATGCAGAAAGGGTGGATAAAAAATATTTATCGCTCTGACTAAGACTATGCTACAGAGATTAAAGTAATTTAGTTTACACATTAATTTTTAAAATTAAGTCAGCAAGTTTAATTAGCTGACAAACTTAATTCAGCTTTAGTCTAATTATCTTGATGCAACCATGCAAAATGCACTGTCTGAAGAAATCATCAACAAATGGCATTTCTTCTGTGCAGGAGTTCATTTACTGTTGATTATGGCCAAGCAGGAGAATGAATTACTGAGACTGAATTAGATGATGGCTTGGACATTTTGGTCTCAAATAAGAACTACTTTGTGCAAGAAAAAATACATGCAGAAATGGATTACATGAGTTGGCTAAAGGTTACATTACACACACCTTTTTTCTAGTAAGCCTTGTGCCCAACTTTATCCCGTTATCCTGAAGAAGTGGTCTCTGTTACTAACTGGAAGCCATCTCAGTAGACACAGTGATAGTGCCAAGACCAGGCTGTGGCACAGCTAGTTAGTAGCCAGCTGCATTAAATCACTACTGACTGAGAGGTCATGAGTTTGAAGCCAGCCCAGAGTGGAGTAAGCTCCTGACCCTTAATAGTCTAGCTTGCTGTTGACATATGCAGCCTGAAAGACAGTTGCATCTGTTGAGTAGGAAATTTAGGCACCCCTTTGTGGGGTGGATAATTTAACTAATTTACGACACCATAAATCCTTCCAGCAGCATGCGTAAGAATGAGGAAGTACTCCATCAAGGACACAGTGTCACAAGTGGATGGTGAAGCGACAGCTCTCCCTGTGGAATTGAGCATATCCTTATGAAGCCGGAAAAGCTGGAATGCTAAATTGCCTCTGTGTCTGTTGTATGTCTATGGCACTGTATGTTGTATGTCTATGGCACTGTATGTCTATATGTTGTATGTCTATGGCACTGAATATTTATTTATTGTGTCATCAGCATGTATATGTGCAATGTAATCCACCCTGAGTTCCCTGAAGGGTGAGAAGGGCAGAATATAAATACTGTAAATAAACAAATAAACAAACAAATAAATAAATAAACTTATACTTTAACTGCCATGGCAACATCCTATAGAATCCCAGAATTTGCAGTTTAGGGAAGCATCTTTACAGACCACTGGTTCTCAACCTGAGGGTCCCCAGGTATTTTGGCCTACAACTCCGATAAATCCTAGTCATTTTACCAGCTGTTAGGATTTCTGGGAGTTGAAGGTGAAAACATCCAGGGACCCACAGGTTGAGAACTACTGTTATAGACACTTCAGTCAAAATATTCATCTGGTATCTCTGGACCAAACTATAAGCCTCACAAATCCATAGGACAGAGTATGGCAATTAAAGAAAAATTATACTCTAGTGTTAAAGGGCTCTAGGGGTTACCAAATGTCACCAGAAGACACAATCCTATGCCCCTCAGGGAGATCATAGAAACCAATTTGCCATAATCTTCAGGCTGTGAATGCACAACTGCTTTAGCACTTGACTTCCTCCTCTTTCCCTATTTCTCTTTTTTACTGAGATTATGAATCTGTGGGTAAACTAACCAGTGACATATGGTTGTTTCTATGATGGTGGTGAATCCACAGGCAGTTTTAATTTGAACTTTAAAGAAGCTATCCAAGATGCTGAATTGTATCTCCACCAAAAATATCCAGCATCTTGGATACTCCTTTAAAGTACTAGCTAAAACCCAGAACAGGTTCTCCATAATCCTGGGACATACCAGCAGTCATTGGAAGTAACCTAAGTATCTGTAGAGTTAACTCTCAGAACCCATGGATTCCACCATCCATGGCTTGCAAATATTAAAAATATTTCCAAAAGCAAACCTTGATTTTATATAAGGGACACCATTTTACTAAACCATTGTATAGTCAAGCGACTTGAACATCCATGCATTTTAGTATTTGTGGGAAATTTCATTCCAGAGGACATGAAGGACCCAGTGTATGTAATATTTAAGAAGTGGTTTGTAAGTAGCAAAGAACAAGAACAACACTGCTTTCATAGCCTTCTACTTGTGGCTCTTATAGCCTTGTAGCTGCCCACTTTTGTCTGTGGGATTTGGCTTCTCCACATTTCTTTGCTTCTTTTCCAGTTCAGATCAGTTTCACACCGACTCCTGAATGTCAGTGGGAAGTCAAGGCAAAAAAATCACAAATGGTTTACCGAAGTTCATTGGAATTGTCGGCATTGGAGGAACAGGTTGGGGATATCCCCCTGCTGACGGGTACCCAGGCTGTGGGTAACCTCCAGGTTGTGGGTAGCCTCCAGGCTGTGGATACCCGCTTCCATATGGTGGGGGCTGTGGGTAACCTCCTGGGTATCCAGGGTATCCAGCTGCAGGTGGAGGCTTGAGGGGGTTTCGGTCATCGTAGTCTGGAGGAGCACTGGGGTGCGACATGATGTCCCAGAAACACTCACGGAACTGAAAAACAAAAGAGATAAAGCTCAGTTATCACCTCTGTCCATTTCTTAGAGAAACATACCCAACACCATAATGGACTGCAATCAAATTACCCTTCATCTAAATCAGTGGTTCCCAACCAGTGGTCTGTAAGAACGAAAATATGGTCTGTGGCTTCACCATTACTCACTGTTGCTTCAAAACAAGACAACGAGAGTGACTGGTCTCACAAAACCCTCTTATAGTGCTGAGACAACAAGGATGTCGGGTGTGGAGAAGCTGACTATCTACAAAAGATTACTACTACCGCATCAGCTATAGATATTTAAATATTATTTTCTGTGGGCAAGCCGATAGCAACTACTGGATGGCATATGTTACTTATTAGAAACTAGAGCTGATGTAGTCTATCCAATGCAATTTTCTGAATCAGCATCCCAAATAAACAAACCAAATCTAAAGTTGACCAAAAATGATTCATAACCCGTTTGGTACTAATGTTGGAGAATGGTCCCTGGTCAAAGTGGTCCCTGGTCAAAAAAGGTTGGAAATGAGTGATTTAAATGCACATCCTTTTTGTTTTATTGGTCCAACAACAGCCAGGAGGGGGAGCCAAAAGAAGAGCACAAAGCTATTCTGATAACAGAAAGAAAAGATTTATCTGCCATAAGGATGGATAGTGTTTTTGGCCTGCAAGTTTCATGAATCCTCATGATCATGGACTTTCTTAGCTAGGGATGAGGGAAGTTGCAATCCAACAACATTTAAAGAGGGACACACTTTTGTTCTAGTATGTAATGTTGGGATTTTAACCAGTAACTGGATGGCACACAGTCATTCAGAAAGGAACGATGTATGTTGTTGTGTGTCTTTGTCGTTTCTGATCTATGGTAACCCTAAGGTGAATGTATCATAGGATTTTCTTAGCAAAGTTTCTTCAGAAGGGCTTTGCTATTGCCTTCGTCTGAGGCTGTGAGAGTATGACTTGCCCAAGGTTCTGCAGTTGGCTTCATGGCCAAGCAAGAATTAAAATCTTGATCTCTGTAGTCATCATCCAACACGCAAAACACTTCACAAGGCTAGTTGTGTAATTTGAGTGTATCGATCATTTAGCTACTACACCATTAAAACATCAGCTTTGGTAACTGAATAATGATCACTTTGTCTTTTTTTTCCCCCTCCCTAAATATCTGAGACCAAACTGTGTAATTAACTGCCTGCTTTTACTTCTGTCAAAACTGGGGAAATTGCATCAATTGTATTTGTTTGCTGCTTTGTTTTCATTAACACTAGGTGTATTTTAGCCTTTCTAATCCAGTTATAACTTCAAAATGTCTTCTGCATTCCAGTTCACAACTATTATAAAGGGCAGCCGTAGAGAATAACCAGAATAATGAGGACTCTCTGAACCTCTTCCCCCTTCACAAGCCAATAATAGTCATAGGATGCTGCCTTGCAGCAAGTCAGACCTCCAGTCCATTTAGCTCAGTATTGTCTAGTGGAAGAATTGCACAGGTCACATTTGGGGCTTTGAAGGTTTAGTAAAGTCCCCCAGACATTTCCCAAAGACCTTGGCAAACCACTCCAAAACAAACATCCACTTTTTAAAAGCTAACTTCAATTTCTGTTTCCATGTATTAATCCCTCCCAAAACAGGTATATCCTTCTCCCAATCAGCCAGAAAAGTGACTGGGAAGGAATGTGCCATTATTTTAGGTCACAAAAAAGACAGCATAGCAACAGCTTTTTGGAGCTCAAGAAAAGCAAAAAGTCCAGCAACACGTCCCCATTGGTCTCCACAGCACCTGGCAATGCCTTTCCAGATTTTCCAGCAGGAAATTTGACCTAATCTTACCTGGATATGGCAGATACTAAGCCTGGGACCTTTTGTATACAAAGGAAGTGTTCCACGATTACGTAAGGACATTCAAAACTTGGTTCACTACAGTATGACGTTTTAACCAATCCAGATAAAGAAAATGCCTTACTGTACCTAAAGGGGAAAGTATTGTTGGAATTAGCAACATGAAAAAGAACTGGTATTTACTCATGAGAGGGAGAAGGAGGGAATGAGAGGAAGGGAGGAAGGGAGGAAGAGAGAGAGTCAAAATATGATTATACTCCTCCCATGACTGGCTGGTCCCCCAAGGCAGGATAAAAGCTCCACTGTCATTGCTGCCAAGAGAGAGATCTTTCCTTTAGTTCTAGGAGAGGATCTTAAACCAAAAAAATGTCTCGAGAGGTAAAAAAAAAAAAGAGAGAGAGAAAGACGTAGAGAAAAATTCATGACTTATTCACAAAAGAAAGGAAAAACAAACCTCACAACTTCTGAGGGTGCTTGCCAGAGATGCAGGCGAAACGTCAAGAGAGAATACTTCTAGAACATGGCCATACAACCCGAAAAACCTATAACAACCCAGTGATTCCAGCCATGAAAGCCTTCGACAATACAAAGGAAAAAACAGTTGCTACTCCTGTCCACATCGAAAGCCTGAAACATGAGAGATTCTGAACAGAATAGCGTAGAAAAAAGGAAAATACTTGGGAAGCCAAGGTTTTGGATTGAGATAATTGTCATTTGGCCCAAATCCCTGTATTTGCAAGTCCTTGTATTTGTTCAAGTTCACTTTGGAGAGAAAGCACATTACCTAGTCTCCAACACAACATACTCCCTTTAGTACAGTGGTTCCCAACCTTTTTTTGACCAGCGACCACTTGACAAGGGACCTCTCTCCAACATTAGAACCAAAAAGGTTACTAATCCGTTTTTTGGTCAACTTTAAATTCAGTTTGGTGTGCTTATTCAGAAAATTGCATTGGATAGACCACATTAGCTCTAGTTTCTGATACCGACCATATGTCATGGTCAGCGACAGGGAAGGAGTTGCAGGCAGCACAAAAGGAGTGGAAATAAAATAAAGACCAGATTTTCATCTTCGCAGCCCACCGGTGGTCTGCGGCTCATAGGTTAAGAAAAACTTCTTTAGTACAAGAGTGGGGGTGGAAAAAGAGCAAAGAAAGTTTTCTGTTGTGTATGAACCCTGAATATATAAATATATAAATACATAGTACAGACTTGCAAATAACATCAATTTGTCTGAACACCTGGGTCAAAGTTGTAACAGCGTGCAGCAATTCAAGTGACAACCATGACAGCACATCTTAAAACATGAACCTCCAGACTGCCCTGCAGAACAGGAGAAGACACAGGAAACTAAAGGCTGAATGTGGCATAAGACTGCCAGATTAAAACTTTATCAAGCCCTGAGATACCAGATCCAGACCGAAAGAACAACCCCTTGTGGTAACACAGGATGATGAGATTACAAGGATAAGATAAAAGGGTGATGTCACGAAACATGATACAAATTAAGCATCAACCACAGTTACAAAGAGCATGCCATTCAAACTTTAAGAAGCACCAAGGACACAAGCAAAGAAAATATATAGTTGAAGCATCCCTTATCTGGAATTCGAATATTATTCGATACATTCCAAAATCAGAAATTGTACTTATGGGGGCTGAGTGAGTGACACTTTTCCTTTCAGATAGTTCAATGTACATTAATTTTGTTTCATGCACACAACTGTTTAAACGATTGTGTATAAAATTACCTTTAGGCTATGTCTATAAGAAAACACAGAGGCAGTGACAGACTTTGTATTGCTAGTTGCAAAGATTACTGCAGACAGAGATTGCAGTCAGGAAATCAGAAGACGTTTACTTCTTGGGAGGAGAGCAATGACCAATCTCAATAAAATAGTGAAGAGTAGAGACATCACAGTGGCAACGAAGATCTGCATAGTTAAAACAACTTTACTCCCCGTAGTAACTCATGGATGTGAGAGCTGGACCATAAGGAAGGCTGAGTAAAGGAAGAGAGATGCTTTTGAACCATAGTGTTGGAGGAAAATTCTGAGAGTGCCTTGGACCACAAGAAGATCCAACCAGTCCATACTCCAGGAAATAAAGCCCGACTGCTCACTGGAGGGAAGGATATTAGAGGCAAAGAGGAAGTATTTTGGCTACATAATGAGAAGACAGGAAAGCTTGGAGAAGAGAATGATGATGGGGAAAATGGAAGGAAAAAGGAAAAGGGGCCGACCAAGGGCAAGATGGATGGATGGTATCCTTGAAGTGGCTGGCTTGATCTTGAAGGAGCTGAGGGTGGCCACAGCCAACAGGGAGCTCTGGTGTGGGCTGGTCCATGAGGTCACAAAGAGTCGGAAGCAATTGTATGAATAAACAACAAAAAGTCTATAAGGTGTCTATGAAACATACATGAACTTTGTGTTTAGACTTGCATCCCATCTCCAAGATATTTCATGATGTATTTATAAACAAATGCCGGTATTCCAAAATCTGAAAAAATCAAAACCATTTTTGATCATAGAACCTAAACCTGTGCACATATTTAAAAAACAAACAAACAAGCACAGGCTAACATTGCAAGGCAGCACTCTCACTCTAAAGTTCCTCTCCTCTGCCTTGAGAGGGGCCAGTCCCTGAGACATAGCAACATGAGGGCAGAACCACCCCTCCTCTCCAACCATCCCAGAAGTTTTGGAGCAACAGCTAGGCCATGAGCCTGATTTGAAGAGTTTTTCTTCGAGAGTGCACACTAGCCACTCTCGGGTGGGGAGGCCCACGTGCTGCTTCATGAATGCAGCTGTTTCAAACAGGACTCATTTTCTCAACAAAATGTGCAAGCTGGCTAAAAAGATCTTTTCTTTCCATCCACATCATCCACCCCCAAAGCTCAAAAGAGAGGAATAGTCAGAGAAAGGAAACACTTGTCTCATTAAGCCTACAGTACCCTCAGCAGAACTGACCATTCTTTATGCTTCTTCCTCCACCATGATTGGGGACACACAGAAAGAAAACAAAAACCACAAATCCCACCAGCCTCGGTGTTCACTAAACTTGGCAGGGTGGAGCAAGTTATTGAATCATAGAATGACAAATCTGGAAAGACCCCAATGGACATACAATCCAACACCATTTCACCATGCAGGATTTT